GCAGATTGGAAGATGTAAGATGATAATCCTGTGGTTGTAGGCTTTGCTGTACATTCCCAACATTCCCAGGTGAACCGCCAAAATCCAGCTAAAAATAGAATGCCAGGGCCACAAGAAAGAGCAGACAGCATGGCACAAAAGAGCGTGCGTAATCGGTTCTTTTGAGAGGCAAATAAAAAAGGGTTTGGGACGACCCGTGGTAATGTTTTGTTCATATGTTACGAATCTGTGGTGGATCATGTGTGGTAACCAATCCACCCCAGGCTCACCTGCCGCACACGAAAAGGCACTTGTCAATCAATAAACATCACCTCTATAATCAACTTATGTTATTGCGGCCCCGGTGTGGATACGAACTTTCTGACACAGATGCTCTTATTCGGGGCGTCACTGTACGAGCAAAGCTGAATCTGAACTGAATTCCACGACTATGGCACCGTATCTAGTGCCTAAGGTAAGTAAATATCACCCAATCAGAACGAGGATTAACGCTTTGTCTCCAGAAGGCGCGACTGCAAAGCACCACCCAGCTGGAAAGTTTCATTGGAGCGTATGAATGCAATGCAGGGGGAGTTAGTTGATTCGGTTGATCTAGTAGTCATCCATGAACCACGTAAAGCAGCCTTTCAAGTGTAACGGTGATACCGCCGATGGGGACATGCGAGTAGTACGATTTCTCCTAAATACGCTTGAGTCTTTTGAAGAGTGAGATCCATCAAGGAATTGGTGGAATCGCTCTGTAGCATTTGCTTGCAATTGAGTAACAGTCAAAAAATGTCCGGGAAATTTCAGGAAGATGCGCTAAAGAGGGAGATCAATATTCAGTTTTGTAAACAAGATGCAAATGAGAGTTTCGCTCCCTGTTCAATAGTCTGTAACCGTTCAGCAAGATTTGCCAACCCGTGTAACGACTGTCCTTATGGCCACTGAAGAAAGGTGGGGAATGTGGGTGCATTCCAAGTCAGAAGAATAGCCCCTAAAAGCTGAAAACGAATGATTACATGGCAGCTCCGTAACCGGATGAAATGCACGAGCACTAATCGATATTAGTATCAGTAGTCTTGGAGTAGTTGCGGGTTCGCACAAGAAACTGCAGGTTGGTTAAAAAGCGCTTATTCTACTTTTTCGGATCTAACACGACGAAAATGCAGCTTTGGAAATCTTGGCCCCGAATGCTGTAAAACATTGAATGGTATACGCACATTCATGCGGCAAGCCAGGCTTTCCATGTAGCTTTCGCCATCTATGATTTTTGTTTAGCCACAGTGGTTCACGCATCCCATTCTCACCCAAGACCACTAATGGTGGCCAAAAGCTTTCGCGTGGAATTCAAGACAATTACAGCGGCGCAGTTGACCTTTCAGGTGACCACTGTCATTCTTCAGCTTGCAGTGGATCACAACTGCCAAGAGCAATAAAAAATTGCGCCTGGGGAAGACAAAGTGCATTTAAGGCTTTCGAAGGAGACCGCCCAGATTGGTCGAGCATTTCTGCCTGATGTTTCGTCGGTCGCTCGACAAAGGTAACGATGGTTTCTCTCAGGAGGCAGTCACTGTTGTGCCAATTTGCACATATGTAGACCCTTTTTTCTCCGGATAGCTACAGGCCTATGGCCAGACTAAAATACTGCGCAACGTAGTGGAACACATTCCAAAGTGGGTCATTCGTGAGCATCTCATCAGAGGTTTTTACGTCACAAACACCCCTGTGTTTATGGACACGTTGCCACAGGCGAAAACGATGGGCTCGCCGCCATTTCTTAAAGGCACTAGGTTAAGTTCCATGCATTCTGCTGCAAAACCCTCAAGGTTTGATAAGCTTGTGGGTAAATTTTTCACTGAGTTGAGACTTATCTTTCAAGCGAACGCTGCAATAAGGTGTTGAATCCGCCCATTCTCCTTCTGCAGTAAATTTGCTATGTTTTCACAAAGCTCGGCCCCAGAATGTCTCCTCACTCTGGTTCACGTCAAGCACCTCCTCGATGGCTTTGAAGTACGTGCCTAATATGAAGATGCTCATAGATTTTTAAAGCCATTCAAATGCAAGTGAAAGTGATCGCCTCAAAGCAGTGATCACTGGAGTCACGCCTTCTTTGAATGACGGAAATCGTATGCGTAAATCGTCCGGGGGTGGGCTTGGCAAATTATTTTTGTGTGTATGAGCGCACGTAGGTACGCGACGAGGATACATACAAAAATACTTGGGTATTCGGCTCTTTTTGGCATGTTACTTCTTCTTCGCCATCACCAACAGCTAAACTGGCGTTGGAATTTTTTACGTTCCTGTGCGCTTTCTTAAGTGCCTTAATGGACACCCATGGACTTAATAAGCTTGCATAAGATCTCTTTTTGAATACACTTATTAGACTGCCCATTCATTCTCATTGAGTGTGCCCAAAGAGCACGCACTTGCCTTTTTTAACAAGGACTGGCCAACGACTATTTCAACCGTTGGCTTTACTGGACCTAGAAAAGGCAACTTGGAAGTGCTTTAGGATCGAAATATTTCTCTTTATTGCTGTTTGTCCTCGTAATTTGTTTGAACATCAGAGAATGCAACTGGAAATGTCCATGCTGTTTTTGAGACGGAATGCAACTACAATGAGGTTGAGTCGTGTGAGTTGCCGCCCTAGTAAGTTAACTGCTTAACTCCGAAAACTTGGAGGACTTTGATGCGTCTATTTGATTGTGCGCCTCAGGTGAAGCGGGGCCTACGGAGGCTAAGAACTCACGCAAGAAGTGTGACAAGACCATCACCAGGAGCAGCGATTCGAGAACTCATGAACTAGAAGGCAGAAAGCTTTTTGTAAAGTTCTCACCAGCGACTGTGCTGTGGGCTCCGACAAATTCTGCTTTGGACGAGCCAATCACCGCCCAAGAGTGAATACGGTCACCCGTTCGGTCGTGATAACTTAGTTGCACTCACAAGTGCTAGTAAATTAGAGATAAAATTCCGGCTCGTATGTCAGAAATTCTGAGTTTTAGTGCCCAAGGAGGTCCGGCGCTGATGATCTTCATTAAACAAGGAAATCACGACCAGTGTGTTACTCACTTGGTAGGGATAAATCGGGATAAGCGAACGAGGACAGGAGGACGAATGTTCAGACCCTTCCTCCCTCTATTGGATTTCCATGCATACTCGTTGTATGGAACGTCACGCCCTCCGGCCGCGGGTGGCTTGACCAGAAACCTGCCAAAATTATCACACACTTCATTGGATGGCCATAGAAGCATTATTCCATTTTCCCTTTATTATTTTCACAGACCATGCTCTCAGTTCAAATCTGTTTTATCCCAAGACTTGTAGAAAACCCTTGTTTTTGATTGCCTTGAAAATATTTCTTGCCACTCATTTGCTGGTGGTTCTGTCAGAAAGTTTCATCGACGACTGAATGCACCCAATTTAGCCGTCTCCCCTCCCACCTCCAGTGATCATACTGGACATTTTTATCATGCTCAATATAGATATTGGATGTATCTGCGTGGCTTTAGTTGCTGATGGCACGAACCGCTCAGTCCAGACCAAACACCGGCTGACTCCTGTGTAGCCCTTTTCAGCCAATAGTTGGGCCGCCTGACTCCGAACTAGGCTCTGCACCAAACGGCTTAGCGGCGCCAGGATTCGCAGACGAAGAATAATCACCGGGTAACCATAATATTTGACCTGTAGCGGGCAAGGACCCTGTCAGCGTGTTCGAGCAAATTAACAAGCAAAGTAACCAGTAGAAAATCACAAAATCACAATAAGAAAAGAATCAGTAGTCACATGAGGACCCACGAATACGCAAATCCAAAGGCCCACTACACCGAGCAAATTGCAGTAACCGGCTTTGAAAGTAATATTTGCTGGTAGAAATTTCCCACGTATGATTCACGTGTGAGTGATATATTCTGCGATAGGAAAGTTACTCACGGCTGACAAATATCACGGGGATTTATGGTGACGTTCAACAGTTGACGCAAACACAGAGATTTAGTCCCAGTCAGCAATCAGTCCAACGGATCGTAAATACACTCGTCCAGCAAGATGTCATCGGGGCGCACGGGAAAAAATTTTGTATTCGTAACATTAAAACAAACGTCATGATGAAATATGAACGACAGTTACAAAGCTTAGTTCAGGTTCAGGAAAAATGGTAATTATGTGACAACGGATTACCTCTCCGGTGCCTTTGCCAAACAGCCCATCACGGTATTCGTCGATTGCATGTGGTTTGTGGGATTCTGGACCGTTAGCCTTCACACCAGGTAGGTTTCACTAAGTACGTGTCGACGGGGCACAGTTTTGCCACCGTATCCAAAACCTTAACGCCCTTCAGTAGAATATTACCCTATTGTAGGTCTCTTGGGGCTAAAAGGCAATGAAATTATTCCCTAAAACTTCCAGTGACAAGGCAAAAATCGTTCCTTTTTTCACAACCCTCGATACCCGTTGGGTCAGGTCATTTGAACCCGGCAATCTCCATATGCCTGCGCTCAAGTGACCCATCATCCCAGGTTTGAACCTTCTCGCCCCTAATGCGCATGAAGGCTTCTTTGGTCACCCAAAACAGCATCCTACATGGTCAATGGTTCTACATTTTTCCAACACAGGCACATTGAGCCACAACACACAAATTTCCCCTCCAATTCACTCGCTTCCAGCCGAAGCCGCCATCACCTCACCATACAACATTCTAAACTTGATTTTGACAACATCCTCCCCAAGATCACCACCCAATTCATTTTTCACTGGCCCAACTCGGATGTATATACAGGAAGAAACCGCTACTCGAAGAATACACCACTCTGATTCCAACCTATTGAACAGTTCGTCGAGCCTGAGAACCCCCACTTGGGTTGTGGTTGCGGAAGGCTAATACGCTGGTGGAAGTTTGTCACTGTCCTCCCCTCTTCCCCTTTACTTGAGTTGAACTTAGGGTGGGTCATCTGTTGCACTCTCACTCAAGTTTGAATGTTCTGGCGCTTTATTCGATTCAAATTTTAGTCATCTGTTAGGCAATGTTCGAGGCCCGCCTCAACCAAGCTGATATTTGGAAGAAGGTCATCGATGCAATCAAGGATTTGGTGCAGGAGGCTACTCTTGATTGCACCGAAAATGGCATTAGTCTTCAAGCTATGGACAACGCGCATGTCAGCCTGGTTTCTCTCTTGCTAAGAAGTGATGGATTTGAAACGTATCGGTGTGACCGGAATCTTTCTTTGGGGCTTAACATTGGAAGGTTTGATCTCAGTTGACTGTCTTTGACCAGTTATACCACAGTACTGCCAAAATTTTGAAGTGCGCTAGTGGGACTGATGCGGTCACTCTTAAAGCCGGTGACAAAGCCGATACGCTTACTTTCGTTTTTGAGTCAAGAAGTAAGTTTTCTGGGTTTTAATTAAATTTGTAGACCAGGAGAAGGTTTCAGACTTCGAGATCAAGCTTATGGATCTTGATGTAGACCACCTTGGCATACCAGTAAGGTCTATTACGTCAGTTCATTGTTTAGGATACTGACTACAAATGTGTGATTAAAATGCCATCCTCTGAGCTGCAGCGCATTTGCCGCGATCTCAGCCAAATCGGAGATTCCGTTGTTATTTCTGTTGCCAAAGACGGCGTGCTCTTCAGCTCTACTGGCGATCTCGGGACTGGCAACATCAAACTGTCGCAGTCTGCCAACGCTGACAAGCCCGAGGAATCCGTTTCGATAGAGATGAATGAGGCTGTCAGCATGACCTACTCTTTGCATTATTTCAATATCTTCACTAAGGCTACACCTCTTTCGAGCCAAGTTGTGCTTTCTTTGACAGAAAATGTGCCCGCAGGTAGGCTTCAATGTATTGATTGCTAATATCACTAATAGTGGTCGAATTCAACATTGAAGACTTGGGATATATCCGTTACTATTTGGCTCCAAAGATCGAAGATGATGCTGATTAAACTTTGGGTGGTGCCTGTGCACACTTGACGTATATTTTTGTACATCTATCCAGATTTTACACGAAGATTACACTGCCCTCGACCATGTGTGGTCGCATCCAAGGACGAACGTTTCTGCTGCTCTTTTCAGCTTGGGATATAGTGGTAAAACGGCACCACGTTGCGTTGCGTAGCATGCCTGCTTCGTGGAGTCAGTGGTGGGGTGGAAAGCTGACCCCGCGTTAAGACTTGATGTGGAAAAATGACCATCATTCACAGACGCTTGAACCCATGCACAGATGAGTTGGAGGTCAGAAGATTATATATATATATATATATATATATATATATATCGAGATTTAATTATTCGAGAACAATCGATAGAAATAAACTAAAGCCTTCGTATACGGTCGGCCGGATGCTTTCTTCAACGGATAGGCAACGCCCGGCCTGTGCAAGTATGCATAGCCTCCATTACTTCAGCGAGTGATTTGACGTGGCGTGGAATTTTAAAGTCGGTCGCCAAGGAACCGAGTTTAACGCTGGAAGTTTCACCAACCATACCCCTGTTCATCGCTTTTGTGGAAGCGCGTATTGTCTCAACTAAGCAAGCTGACCAGCATACTGTCCTTGCACGCAGTCGACAGAGGCCTGTAAAACCGTTTGTATGATCTAAGCGCAGTAATTTAGCTCACGAATTCATCGATATCTCAATTCTGTGGACAGTTCCACGTGACTTCTCGAATGAAGCGATCACTGGAAGTTCTTCAAAACCCCGATGTTCAAAATGGTTGATGCTGAGAGCCTTGTCGATTTGGAGTACGCAGACTGAAGCGTGGCACAAGCCCTGTTGAATAGACTGGCCACCGTCATACCATCTATTGGCATGCGCCTTGCACCTTCAAAGTGCAAAGTCATGCTTCAGGACGTGCATTCTCCGAACATATCCCTTACACTTCGAGGAGAATCACGGAAGGTTGTGGGAAACTTTACCTACCTCGGTAGTTGTATTAGCTCTGGCAGAAGTCTTTCTGATGAAGTCAGTGCAAGAATCTCAAAGGCTCGGTTCACGTTTGCTAGTTCGCGTCACTTGTTGCCTCAGAAAGGCATCTCACTAGATCCTGAGGGTTGTGTGTACCAGGCTACAGTAAGGGCTGTGTTGTATGAGTGCGACGCATGGCCTCTGCGGAGATGTGAGGCGTCTTCAGGTTTTCGGCCACGAGTGCCTCAGAAACGTGGCTGGTTTTGGATGGCGTCAGGAGGTTAGTAACGAGGTGATTAGAAAACGGGTATTTGGTTGTGCTGCAGGTACTTTAATGCGGGAAAACATCTAGCATCATTGACTACGATGGCTTGGCCATGTTTCTACGCATGTCAGAACACCCTCTGCTGTAACAAGTGTTCTCCGTGCCTCTCAAGATGGCGCAAACCGCGAGGTGGACAGCTCATGACTTGACAGAAAGGCATGCAAGAGAGCGAGGAGTCTGGGTGTTCTTGGTGTTGTGCGTCTTCCGGGGACGAGATGGCCTAAGTGGTTAGAACGCGAATTTACTGACTGGAAGGTCCGTATTTCGAACCCGACCTCTGCCTCTCAACTTCCCCTGTCTAGGCTTGGGCAACCTGACAGTATCCCAGCCCTCGTGCAACCTTCTGGTGGCATGGCAGCTAGGCACCGGAAGGGTGCTTTAGCTGAACGATTTTATATTTTATGTACGTCTTCCAGGATGTGGTCCCCGTGACCGCACCTGTGCTTGGCTAGAGACTTTGCAAGAAATGGCGGCTAATTGATGTCAGTGGCGTTCGTGCTGTCAGTTTCTTTCCAGATTGTTTGAGTGCTTGGAGGTGTAGGCACCTGAGCGCTTGACATAGACCAGCACTAGGCCCCTTCCTCATCCACTCCTTTTCTCTTCTTTTCACTAGAGCTTTTAATGTAATTATATATAACTAGATGAACCTTATGGTTGTACGGCAGTGAAGCATCAGTGTCAACACTGATGTTGCTGTCTTTGATGGTGATGACTTCTCGGATGTCGGACCTAGTGTTGATGTAGCTTTGATTTTCGGAGCTTGATTGGGAACTTGCAAATGATTACCTGTGTCCTTCATACGTCAGCCGGTCGGAATAATGGCCGCCCTCTGTTTATGGTATCCTTTTATGCACCGTACAACAATAGCACCAGTTCGATCGGTTATACGTGTTATGTCCATGACGACAGTATAGTACTGTAGTATAGTAGCAGTATAGTATAGTCTAGTGCTTGCCGATGAAAACTTCAGAGCGTAATTGGAGCGCCTCAGACTATCCGAGGCGTGACTTGGTGGGATGTTTGGGTTAAACTCAAGCCGCTTTGTGTTTCTTAACGCACTTATGCTAACCACTTGATGTCAGAAGAATCATTGTCACATTGATGTGAAAGGTATCCACTCAAGACCGAATCATAAGTCGGCTGGAAATATGCCTGCGCGTGGATAAGGGAGCATGGCAACCAGAAAACTGAAGAGATGCACGAGGCTTTTGCTGCGCGAATCCGCGGAAAATTTCAGTTTATTCACAAAACGCCCCAGCACCGTCGCTTACTGATCAAGTCAAAGAACGTCTGAGACTTAATATGTAATAAGGGTGAGCGTAGAGTCCTATCGTCAGTTTAATTTGTCATCGGCTTGTATGCGTTTGCCGTTCATTCTACTCAGGTCGTTCTCTGATTTTTATTAGTGTAGTGCAGCTGCCTTAAAACGCCACCAGGTTGCTTAAACAAGTGGGCTTCCATCAGTGCTACCCAAGGACGATAATGGCCCCTAGCTATTTTGTTTGAACTTATTTAGGAACAAGAATGCTTTCTAGACTACGACTCAGTCGGAATACGAAGTTGCTACCCCTATCATAGATGCACAAACTCGGTGTCTCAACGTTGCCACTGACCACAGTAATACTGCAAATCCTAACCGGGGCGTCAGACGCGCCTGCGGACCCGTGCCCTTTTTCGAATTAGAACCTTCTGGTTAGTAAGCCCCGATCCTAAACACCGAGAGGCTTCGAGCTCGATCTCATGGTCGTATGGCAATCAAGCACCAGCATTGTCAACATGGATAGTGACCTGCCATGCCACCCGAAGGAAGCACGAGGGCTTGGATACCGCCAGGTTGCCCAAGCATGGGATCGGGAACTACGGACTATCCAGTCAGCAAATTCACCCTCTATCCGCAGCCATCTGGCTCCGGGGGTTTTATGCAGGTCAGGAGCAATCGAATTTTTTTTTGGGTGGTAGGTGCAAGGAGGTGGGAGTGTGGTATCCATGCGATACGAGTATAACCACTGAATCTCGAACTGCGTGAACAACCCTCCACACTAGCACCACGATGTTTCTTGCATTGATCACCAGTTTGATTTGTTGTAGAAGGTTAATGAAACGTTCATCCAGTGCCCATCCATCATCAACACTGATGACAAGCCACAAGTACTTCCAGTTGGTTAAACACACGAGAGCAATCGGGATGTCGGGTTTGGATTCGTACCACGAACCTTCCGGTTGATAAGTTTGTGCGTTAACCACTGAGCTTTACCGAGCTGGACATCCACCGTAACGTTTACTCTAACACTAATGGTTTTGTTAGAGTTCACGGTGAGCTGTTGAAAAGCTTGAGGGCGAGATGGTCCAAGTGGTTAAAGTGCGAATTTACTGACAGGAAGGTCCGTGTTTCGAATCCGACCTTTACCCTTCGGTTTACCCTTTCTAGGCTTGGACAACCTCGCATTTTCTTCTGGTGACGTGGCATTTAGGCACCGAAAAGGTGAGCGATTTCATTTTAGGGTTACACTCGCCCGGTTTCGTAGTAAGATTTTGTACTTCGAAGGTACAAAGTGCACACCAAAATACATGTCGACATTGGGTTATTTGGTGCATTTTATATCTGAATGGGATTTGAACTAAGTACCACAATGTCGTCGGAATACTCAGTCTTTACGGTATTCCGGAGGAAGCTCCACATCGGGAGTAAAACGTAGCGAACGTTGCTTCGGCCGTTAGTTTGATTGTGAAGTTGAAGGGGAAATGCGACAAAACACGACCCCGACGGGCACCTTTCTTGGTGGTAAACTCGGGACACTGCTCTCCACAAACTCGCGCCCACAGGTGTTTAAGTAGAAGAATCGGGGACTGCACCATTGATACTGACGCCCGGTGATTCCAACCTTCAGATATAGCACCCTTTGAGTAGTGGAACGTCAAATGTCTGTCACTCTGGTGCCTCATTTACCTCCGAAATGTTCTGCAGCAGTTTCTCAGACCGAGTCCATCTCTTAACAATGCAGGCAGAAGGCGTTGAGAACCTGGTACCTTTTATAGCTTCAAGTTTGTATTGATCCGTTAAGAGCGAGTAGCTCACGTCCCATTGTGAAACTTGGCGCGTCGAACGTTATGCCGGGCAATTCAGGCCAGGTGAATTGTTCTTCGAGCCGCTCCCCCCAGCGAAACAGGCGTTGCGACTTTGAATAAACTTTTGCTCCGTGTTTCTTTTTGATGACTTAGCTGAGTGGCGACTTTTCCCTCCCGATGTTGCGGATGAGTTAGAAAAGAGACTGACTACTCCTAGGGCAGCTGCGTTCTCCATTTTAGCTTCTGTTCGTCACCACTTCTCAAATCAGTATTGGGATTCGGAGCCATGCATGGTTTCAGAGATTCCAATGAGCCCTATTAACACTTCCGTTCGTTGACTTTCTCCTCTCGATCCAGACGAGGATCGCACAGCTATTCGGTTGATAATGCTCCCCAGCTGTGAGTTGGCCTCAATCAGCTCGTCCAAAATTACACATTTCCTCAAGGATGACGCAGTACCGTCTAAGTACGTCAGGTCGGCTAGGTTTTTCGTCGACATTTCGAACATCAAGTTTTTGCCAAGTGGTTAGAGCGAGAATTTAATGACCGGAAGGTCCGTGGTTCGAGCCTGACCTGCCACTCGACTTCTTCTGTCTAGGCTTGGGCGACCTGGCAGTGTCCCAGCCCTCGTGCTCCCTCCGGGTGGCATGGCAGCCAGGCACCGGAAGGGTGTTAAAGCTGAACGGTTTTTTC